TAGTTTTTTTGTTTGCAATTTATTGAAAAACAATATTTTATAAAATAATGGGCTTTTTTTCTTGCGAACGAAAACAAAAAAATGAAGTCATTTTCCCATAAATCGCACAGATGCTTTGAGATTGAATTTGATTTAAATGAGAATGGTTATTTAAGGAATTTAAAATGTAGAAATCTCGTCAAATAAACAGTCAAATGAATTTGATGATTTTGACTATGTGTTTGTCCCCTACTGAAGTGAATAAGGAAGCTAAATTTATGCATTTATTGCCCATAATTCTAATTGATTTAAGTCGTCATTTGGATTTTAGATTCGAATCGTCTTTTGTTTATTGTGTCACAATAAACAATTTATATGATTATTGCACATTGCGATGAACATACATGCTTGAACTTCAACTTAAAATGGTTCGAATCAACATCATAAATCTATCCATTTCGCTAAAATTGTACACACACGAATCGATTTCGAAAATGACTGTGAATGGTTGAATTAATGATGTTAATTTCGAGTCGCTTTTGTTTTTGTGTTTCTATTCATTTCGTAAATTACCGAAAAAAAAACCGTTGACATTTTTGGAACAATTCCATCGAAATTTTACGCATTCCAAGCCAAACTATATGACGCGTATATTTTATTGAAACTTAATCGATTTGATCGATTTATCTGGTTTTCAAAACATACATTTCCATATGGGTGAAGTGGTTGGTGTGTACAATTTTCCAATTTGAAATTCGATCGATTCACATGCGCATAAATTAAGGCAATTCACTCACATTTCAAATGGGCGGCATTTGTTTTTGTGCATTCCAATTTTGTGTTGATGAATGGTTTATATCAAAATCATTCACTAATTGGGTGAATAAACTTTGTGACGATTCACAGATTCCACCTGTTACTTCAAACCAAGTCGAATGCAAGCATAGCTTTAAACCAAAATGAGATTTTCTATTCGATCGATAAGACCAATTACCGTCACATTCTTCACTTTGAACGAAACCAATAAAACAACTAATGAGCATCTAATAGGTGCGTTAGTTAAAACTATAAATGAATATAAAAAAAAACGGCATCGCTCGAGACAGAGAAGTGCATTCGTTTGTCCTAATTTAAGTTGACTCGTTAATTTTCGAGTCAAAAATCGAGAGAAATTGAATAAAACTGAAAAATAAACGCTAAAAAATTAATTATGTCGAGTTTAAAGGATGAAATCTGGAAAAAAAGGTGAATGGTTCGTTTGTGAAATCCCTCAGAAACGACCATACTTTTTGCTTAACGAATTACTGTGGATGCAAAGAGCAAAAGTGAGAAGGGGAAGAATGGAAGAAAGTGCAAAACGCCAAAATCCAATTAAATTGTTTGTTTGTCATCCCACAAGTGGCTCTTTTGCTCATTAATTATGTCAACATTGAAAGTTTTGTACGAGCGCACACTGAGTTGTTGGGTTCACTTTCAAGAGACATCAAATTTGCTAATGACCCTACAGACAGTTAATTGCAATGGAAAATCTCGCTTACCAACTGAAACGACTGTCAGATTTCGGTTTGGTGCAATCGTTGGAGTTTGTGGCCATAGTATTTTTCGTCTTTAATTATGCCAATATTATGTGTCTCTTTGGTTCGGTTTGTCGTTTCGTGTCAAAAGAAAGAGCAACAACAATATTTTGCGATATGTAATAATACTACCTTTTATGATTATGTCTTTTCGATCTCTTTTTATGCCATAATTATTGAACTGCTAGTTTATTTGTATAATGTGTTTGCATTGTTGAGTGTGGCGGTCTGGCCGACGGCAGGGAATTCCTCTGACTGACTCAATCGCATATCCTGTGGATAAACATCGCGTTTACGAGCCGTATCAAATGCTTAAGAATGAAATTAACTATTAACATTCTCCATAGCTTTAATTCGAGAGAAAAAAATCGACGAATGCAAAAACACAAGAGAGATTCAGAGAGAGAGAGAGAGAGAGAGAGAGAGAGAGAGAGAGAGAGAGAGA